CTTGAAAACATTATATAATTATAAATTACAATTTAATAGAATATTTTGTATTTTCGGACTTAGTCACCGGAGTGAGTCTATAGTTATATTACCCTGCTAATTTAAATAAATATGTACACAGCCATAAACACACATAATATTATTTATTCACAAATTGAGTTTACTGTGTAATTATAATTTTACTCATTACGACGAATAAGCTTTTTAAATATTGAAATAATTATTATTAAATTAGTATTTATATTATTATCATGTAAATTATTATAATGTGTAAAACCACATATTATGTAATGTCTATACATTCAAACAGTGTACAGCGATACATAATTTAATACAATTAATATACAATACTTACATAATATTATAGATGTACAAAATGGTATACAGATGCCGAATACGTACAAATATGCTAGATATTTAATATTTTATTACACATCACAACTCATACGATCAACTGCGAAAAAGTTTTACTTCCCCTGCACGAAGGTACTACAAACACACTCTATTTTTTTTTTATTTATTCTTTCAAAAAAAATAATGGGCCCCACTGACTGGTTTTAAAAAAACATTACAAATATTGTAACTATGGGCAGCGTATAACTGTTTAGTTCTTATTAAATCAGTAAATATATTTTTACATCATTCTCTGATTGATTATAACGCAGTGTAAAATTGTCTTATATATTGACCTTGTTCTATATCAGATTATCATTATGTCTTATATAACAGAAGTGAATAATTCGTCCGAAGCCCAAATACAGTCCGCTGTTGAAATAATGAAACAGGTGTTTGACGATCTCCGGCAAAATCGCCCTAAAAGGTTTCAAGACAATGATCTCACTAGTTTAAAACTGCATCGACGATATAAATCGTTACCCAACATGCCAATTTCCGCTAGCGAAGACGTTCAGATCGATTTGCAGTCCTCAACAGCTTTGATGATGCAAGTTTTCAGTGATCTACGTGAAAATCATCAGATAGCGGTCGACGTTAGTAGTGTCAAGATTTCAAAGGCTCAAAGACTATGCAAATCGATGCCCGATATGGCATTCCTAACAAATGCCGAAGTTGATGCACATGATGCTATGCCGTCCACGGAAATTACCGTTTCGCTGGATTCATTGTATGCGGAAACAACTAACAGTGCAGTAATGACACCCGTCGCTGCAGAACTTATCGACATCGACACGATGTTGTCCGTCTCGACAACTTTCCCACTGGTTAAGCCGGTCGAATCCGACCCTCAACTGTTTAGTCCAATACAGAAAGTGGCACCACCGTCAATTGGGGATACAGAGTCGAAAAATGGTTTGACAAAACCTTTGGACCTGGAGACCGCCAGTTTACAGGAAATTGTATCACTTTGCGGCCATGGAGATGCTGCAGAAATGGAAACTACAGTAACAGCCGCCAGACCTAAACGTCGCTCACTATGGAGCCGAGTGAAGAGATTCGCTCGGCGAATGGTTTGCTGTGGTGCTAACAGCGACATACACCATTAGGTGTATAAATAGTTTTTTGAGGAGTGTTTGGGCACCGGTTTGAAAGTTTGTTTAGTTTGCCCCCTCACTTATCACGTTTATGGCGCCTGTGTAGTAAGTCACCGTGCACGATCATCCCGAGTTCGCTCCAAGAGTTTGTGTCCTGCTATATACATATATAAAACATATATAAATATTGCTATAAAACCGTAATCGTGTATACATTAACACTAATAAACGTTTATGCTTTGTAATTTATTTGGTTTTTATTTTATATCATTATTAAGCGTCGACACGCTGGTGTAAATTTAATTTATGTGACTGGTGGAAATCGTGTTTATATATTGTACTGGTAGAATTTGGGTTTGTTGTAACTGGTGTATAAATCACACGAGGGACCTTGTATTGAATGCTTAGACTCTTTGACTGATAACCAAAACATTTTATCAACAAGAAACGCCGAAAAAACCTTAAAGACTGCTATTTTATGAGAAGAACGATGTTTAATAAAGATCTCCAAGGATATTTTGATATTTTGATATTTCCACATTTCTGAATAATTTTAAACCTTGTCACAAGTTTCATGTGAACGTGCGTTTTCAAAATTGAAAATTTTAAAAACAAAACTAAGATTGTCTATCAGTCAAGAACATCTTGAACCACTAATTTCCTTATTTGTAGAAGAAGATTTAATCAAATTTATTCGAATAAATGAAATAATTTATAAATTAGCATATTCTAGTCAAGAATTGAAGAGATTATTATCTTAAATAATATTATATTATATTATATTTACTATTAAAAAGTATTATTTTAAATTATATTATATAATATTTAATTTAAAATATTACTTATTAGTTATTGTACATACTGTATAGATCGTAATTTTTCAAATAAAGGCAATTATTTTCAAAAAAAAAAAATAAAAAAATATTTAATTTGATTATTTATTCATAAATAGTATTAATTTAATATTAAATGTACTTACCTATGTACACGGAAAATGCAATTAAGTACCTTAATATGTTATAAAAATTATAAATTAAAAAAACCTTTTTTCTTTGGTAAAGGGCCCATTGAAAATTACTGTGCCGGGGGCCCAATCATAAGCCCGACCCACACTGTATATTTTACTCTACGCTAATCTAAACTTGAATACATATATTTTATAAAACTAAAAAAAAGGTGCTCTGCTGTACAGTAGGTTACAATTGGGTCACTGTATAATGGATGGTATTAAATTTGAATTCAATGATATGATATCATTGTACCTATAAGAAAAACGATTCTGAGCGGATACGGTAAGTCAGCCCAGATATAAGACATATTATATACTTATCTATGGTATTAAAAAAAATTGAGCTATAATAGGTACCTATAATAAATTCCAAATTAATCATATCACAATATCCATTAGGTACTTATAACGCATTATACATCAACAACAAACAATGATACTAGCATAGACATAATTATTGTAATAGTGTACTTTATAAGTATCAAGTATCCACGAATAAAATTACACAATCACAACAAAATAACTAAAATAGTTATTCTAGGTTTTTTTTTGTAATTTTGTCCAAAATTGAACTTAAAATGACTATAAAAATAAACTGTGCTTATGAATTTTTTAGATTTTTTGGTAACAGAATAAACTATACACGTGGAATCTTGTTTTAAATTTTCAATCCTTATATATAAAAGTTGAACATCTTATACATTTTTAACTACAATATAATTATTCAATTTTAAATTTGATACATTTTGTCAAAATTCGATCTTTAAATGCTTATAAAAATAATTGTGCATATTATATATTGTCAAGGCTGGGCATTAACGAGTTAATAAGTTAAAAGTTAAGTTAAAAGTTAAGTTAATTTTAACTTATTAACTTAACTTACTAGTTCGTTGTTTTAATTAACTTAACTTAACTTAAATCATTTATAACTGCGTTAACTTAAAATCAACTTCTACTTTTTTAATATTACCAATTAAGTTAATTTTGAATTTTCGTTTTTATCTAGAATATATTTTAGTCTATAACGGTTCGTCGATTTAAAATTTGTAGAATATTAGAAAATATTGTTGAAAAAAAAGAAGATATTTTCGTAATAATTTTTTTTTTTATTATCTTAACCTCTTAATTGAAGTTAAGTTAACACAATTTGTTTACTTAACTTTAAACTTAATTGATGTATTACAAATTTATATTAACTTAACTTCTAATTTAATTGAACAAAAAATATTTAACTTAACTTAACTGAGTTAAAAAAAATCATTAACTTGCCCAGCCTTGTATATTGTTAATATTTTTCAACTGATATTGAAACAATAAATCAGGAGCCTTATTGTATTACATTTTTACACTTTTTGGCCTAACAGATAAAACTTTATAGAAAAAAAAACTAAAGAAATTGAAAACTGTAAATGTCCGTAAACAGTTCAAAAAGAGTCAAAATATTTTTAAAAATTGTATGGTGTATAGGAAATGCTAATATAAACATTCAGTAAAATTTTCATGTATCCACAGTTATTCGTTTTTGAATTACATCAAAATAAGAAAATCGATACATGAGAAATTGAGTGAATATCCAATGTTGTAAAAATTTGAGTTTCAAATGCTCATAAAAATTTAATTTGACTTTCTTATAGACATTTTTTTTTTTTGATAAAGGTAGATAACTGTATAACTAATCTTGTATTACATTTTAAAATCTTAGATTTAAAAAGAAAATTGTTTACGAATTCTTAACTCAAAATAATTTGCTAATTTTCGTGATTTTTCCATATTTTGTCAATTTTTGAACTTTAATTATTTCTAATTAATACTGAATGGTAAGATGTAGCTAAAAGCTTAAATAACTAAATCAGTGCCTTTTAAAAAGATAATATTATTAATAAAATAGTTTTCGTTTTGATATTGAGGAGGCTCGTTCTGATGATGAACCAAATCATTTTTGTCTTGGAACTTGGTGACATACTTTGTAGTTTGTGCACTATTGCCCGTATTATTATTACTTTTTGAAAAAAAAGTGTTGTCCACTAGTAAGTTTAGGTTGTATGAAACATCTTGTATTACATTATCAAGCCTAACCTATATCTATAAATTTAAATTTTTTTAAGTTTTTAACTCCAGATTAACTGTTTTTGTCAAAATTTGAACTTAAAAGCATACCCCCCCTCCCCCGGTAAGATAATCCTAGGAGAATCATATCCCCCAGTAAGATAACCCTAGGAGAATCATACCCCCGGTAATATAGTCCTAGGAAAATTATTTCCTCGGTAATATAGTCCTAGGAGAATCATATCCCCAGGTAAGATAATCCTAGGAGAGTCATACCCCCCGGTAATATAGTCCTAGGAAAATTATTCCCCCGGTAAGATAATCCTAGGAGAATCATACCCCCTGGTAATATAATACTAGAGTTAAAAGAATCATTGTTTTAAATTTAAACGTATTTGGTCCTCCTATAATTAACTATTTGTTTGATTATAATATTATAGCTGTTGTATTTTATGATGTTTCAACCATGGGAAACCGAAAATATGAACACCTCGGCTGTACTGAAGACTCCCGAAATACCTGAAAAAATTGTTAAAGAAACCAAATGTCCTGAGCCAATTAATTTGAGATCAGTTTTGGCTTACTTGAAATGTCAGGGATATCCTAGCTATATCCATAGTAAAAATGATAAATCTAACTTTCGAAGACAAACCAAATCATTTTATTTGTCCGATGACGTTATATATTATAAAAAAAATTCTGTCTGTGTTATATTCGACGAAAAACAAAGATAAAGTATTCTGAAAATGATGCACGAGGGTTCTGAAGAGTCGATAAAAGCTGTTGCGCTGTCAAGTCACCGTGGTAGGGATGCGACTATTAATATGCTTAACCAACGTTGCTATTGGCCATCTATTACTTCAGACGTAAAATAATTTATTAAAGAGTGTGATATATGTCAACGGGTTAACCCAGCAACATTGAAAATAGTGCCTGAGTTGCATTCCGTTCCTATACCTAAAAAGGCTAGTATTACTTTTTATTTATACAAAATTACTGATATTTTCAGAATCTAAAATTTAATTAGACTAATACAGTTCATCATACAAAATATTTTTAAGGTTCCAGTAGTATGATAAATGATTTATTCGAAACTTCTAAAGACCATTTTGAGATTTAAAATTCATGATTTCGATGACATATTATATATTTTAAAATGAATTATTAAATATGTTAACAACCATTTTTTTCTTCTAAATTTAGGTTTTTAAACAAATAGGAATCGATCTTATAACTTTACCGGAAGTAAATGGTTTTCGATATGTTGCTGTAGCGATAGACTATTTCGGCAAATGGTGTAAGGCACGACCCCTTACAGATAAAAAAGCTGTTACAGTTGCTCGTTTTATATACGATGAAATTATATGTCGACATGGTTGTCCTAAGGTGGAAATAAGTGATCAAGGTAGAGAATTTTGTAATCAGCTATGTGAACTGTGAAGAACTATTTCGTATGATGGGAACCTCACATAGAGTCCCATCACCCTATCATCCTCAAGCAAATAGACTTGTTGACCGGTTTAATAGAACAATAAAAAATTCGTTACTTAAAGTTGGTACCTACAAAAATGTTGGTTAATTTAAACCAAAAATAATTAATTAAAAAAATTATTTTGTTTTGTGTTTAGATTCATCTAGAAAATGTACTCAAGTGGCCAGATGTATTGCAAGGAGTTTTATTTGCTTACCGAACTGTGCCTCATACTTCTACAAAATATTCACCATTTTATGTTCTATATCAAAGAGAAGCTGTACTTCCAGTAGATATACAACATAACTTAGAAGAAGATAGTTGAGAAGATAATGTTTTTATAGTAGATTTTGATGAAGAACAATTTGAAGAAACATTGAAATGTATGCTATCAATGAGAGGTAGGTATAAACTTTAATACTTAAAAACTAATATTTTAAGGGTTAGGTTATAGATACTATTGTTACACAGTTAAAATAAGTTTACAAACTAGTGTATATCTACATATATATCTCATCCATATATTGAAATCACTTATTTTATGAATTTTGACGAAAATACATTATATGTACATTCATTTCATGAAATAGACAATACTTCTATTGTATACTTTGTGACTTGTGTAATTATTATAAAAATTTTTTTTTTGTTATTTAGCAATAAATATATAATTAACATTATAATAAACTATACTGCTTGTGTGTTTTGTATGTAACGCAGATACGAGGTACTAATGTGTTTGATATTTTGTGTGTTACGAAAATCGTTTTGATAAAATAAAATAATTTCTTATTATTAAAATCCATGGAGGTAATGTGAAATTAAGAAATGTGTTACATAATTAAATGATACGTATTATATTCTTAGACCATTATTTCATAAGGCGATACAGAAAAGTATAGATTATTAGCATAAGTATAAAGTTATTCTTTATTGCTAAATAGTAAATAACATAAAATAATGTGTTTTATAGTAAAAAAAAACTACCAAAAGTATACAATATATTCTACATTTCATGAAATGGATGTACATATTATAATATATTTTCATCAAAGTTCACGATCTGGACGAATTTCACTGTCTGGATATCTAATTCATGAAATGAGTGATTTCTGTACTATTTGGATGCAAGATTTATACCCATAGATTACCTGACCCTAATATTTTACAAATATTCAACCAACAAAATCCATATCCATGCATATGAATACAATGCATTTAAGTGTCTCTCCATTTGTCTGGAATCATTTATTATATAATAATAATTATTATTAAGGGTTGGAATTGGTCTGCAGTTACAAAAACTAAACGAGTTTTTATTCAAACAATGTTAGACAAAGACATTGAAATAACTATCTAAAATATTATTGATTCGTTTACCGCATCTAAAACAGAAGGGTGTTTATAGATTTCAACATCTAATTTTTTACTTTTTTTTAGTGCTAAGCTATTTATTTATTATTTTGACTAATAAACCAAATTTAATTATTTTTTTTTAATCAAAAATAAATTTAATACCTAATACAAACATATGTTTTATTATTCTAAAATTCTGTATAAATAAAATTCGTGCTTTTCCTCCAAAATATCTGGCTACGATACTAAAAATAGTATAATAGTGATGTTAGTATTTTTAAATGTTTCAGGTTGGTAGTATTTCATTATACAATAATAAAAAATTTTTATTTATTCCTTGGATGGTCTTTTTTAAATAATTAGGATTTGCTATAGTCATTGACAACAGTTATAATATTCGTGTCATGTTCAGGTGGAAATTTTAAATTTGTTTATTGTTTGTCAGGTGAAGTCAACTAATATAGGAAGTGGCCAAGTAATATAGGTACATAATACTGTGTCTACTTAAAAAATCTAATTTCAAATCATAGAAAATTGTACATGCAAAATGATAATTCAATTTAACAATTAATACTAAAAATATTATACTATTATAAGGTTTAATGATACTTAGGCTGGTTCTTAGAGCTTACGTTTATAGTTAAATTTTAAGTTATAAGTAAAATAAACAAAATTTATTTGGTCTCTTCTTTCCATTAAATATTTTATAAAAATTACATATACAAATAAAACTATAATTTCAAATATTTAGTTATGTTTAAAAAAATAAAATATCTTAACTTTTAGATAAACTTCAAGATAAAGTGGAAGAAAATATCATAGATACACAATCAGCTCAACGAAAATCATACGCGAAAAGACACCCATTAGCTGAGAATACATTTAAAGTAGGGGACAAAGTGTTAATAAACAATCTCCGGCGTGATGACAGGAAAGGAGGATGGGCCTCGATGCCATGGCTGGTTCCATTCACTATCCATGAAATTATCAACAACAAGATATGTCAGTTAAAAAATGATGTAAAAGTATTAAAAACCAAAGTGTTAATAAGTAATATGAAAAAATATTTTGAATCTGACGGTCAAAAATTGAATGAAGAAGAATTGAAGACAAGCGAATAAAATATAATGTCACGAAAAGATAAGATTCCCACCGGTCCAAAAACCAGGATGTTCTATCCAGTTGGTAAAACATGGCAGCAGACAAAATGCAGAACATTAAAATTAAATTTCAGCATCAAGTAACAAACGAAACTATACTTGCAAAATTCTTGACGGTTCCATCTGAAATTAAAAACATTGTTGGAGATGGAAACTGTTTATATAGATCTTTATCGTATTGGATAACAGGAGACGAAGATTATCATTTTGCCATAAGACAACATGTTTGTGAGGTAAAAAAAAATGTATACTTGTATTTATTATCATATTATAATAGACATAATATATTTAAATACTATTTTCAGATTGTCAAAACAAGTTCAAATATCGAAAGATATATAGGGGGAAAGGAAAACGTGAAGAAATATTTGGAACAAAAAACAATAGAAAATGATGGTAGTATAATTGTATAACCATTTTGTAAATCAATATTTTTTTTCAAACAAAAACACGTCAAATTAACCTATTTGAATAGTTTTAGTGTTGTAAAAAGAATTACATTTTTTTTTATGAGTACAACTATTATGAACGAAATCGTCTGTCTTTTATTTCAGCTGTGTGGGGCTATTTGGTGCCGCAATTTTATTAAAAACGTCGATCTACGTTTATATGACTGCCACAAGTGAATGGCAGTTATTTAACAAAGACATAACTATGAAAAAACCAATAAGGAAAACAGAAAAAATGTTTATACATTAGACATTTTAATAATGTACACTACGATGTAGTAATTAACGTCGAATAGTAACAAGTTTTAAAGATATGTTTTTTTGTTTATTTTGGTATTAAAGTAGGTATAAGGCATGATAATATTATAATTACAATAAAAGGTTTTGTTTGTTAATAATGTATTAATATTATGTATTTATTCAAAATCCATGTTAATTCTAGTAGAATTCTGTATTTTTTTCTCACAGGAAATATTTAATCAAACTTACCTTAGATATCTGTTGAATGTTAATACAAAAAACTTTTCCATTTACCCCTAGTGACTGATAAAATTATATTATTGCAATCTCACCTACAGTATAAATTTATCCACGGATAATCCTGTTAAAGCATTATGTATGATAATTTAGTGAATTAACTCTTACATTTATCATATTTTTTTTTTTGTAATAGGAAATTTAAAAATTACAATAGGTATTTAATAATATTAATAATTGTATTTGATAAAAAGAAAGTATTAAAATACATGCATACGAATAATTTAGAGCATAGAAGTCATTATGCAATGAAAAATTTTGAATTTTATTCCTTAAATAATAAATGATAATATATTTTCAATTTTCTATGGCTTTGGTCTACAAAAATGTTCGTTTATCGGCCTCTTTAGGACATATAGTGCTCCCGGTGGTGACGACTATCTGTAGTAAAATTTTCAATCAAGTTTTCAAACAAGTGACGACACCTTATCAATACACCTTGCCCATTAATCATTTATGTTAACTGATAAGGTAATTATATAATTCGTCACGATTATAGATATATTTTGTTGCAATGGTATTCATTATCTTGTATTCTTGTATCTTCAATCTTGTTGTCTCATCTTTAGTGTTTGAATGAAAAATTACTAATATTTTTTAGAAAATTTTTCAATTTTGTACATATTATAATATATTTATACGACTATACGTATAAAAGTTGTTAACTTGTAAACTAGGTATAATATAATATTCTAATAAGGAATACCTGAATATTAATACATAATATCCTAATAAGAATACGAAAAAAACTTGGACAAATTCACAAATTAACTGTACAAGATATTTGGATTATATTTAATATTTATATTTAAATGATTTAGGCCAGTAGTTGGCAAGTAATTTCTATTGGAGTCCTAAAGATTAAAATAATAAATTAATGAGGTCCAGTGAAAAAATCTTTTTCAAATCTTTATATTTTAAAAATAGCAGTATAAAAATAAAAATAATTATTCAGTTATTACAATTAATTTATATTAAAAATTACAATATTAAAAGTATGAAAAATAAATATATCTATTACAGTAAATTATTTAATGCGAAAAATTGCATTTCTTTTTCTTAGCCAGCTTTTTGAAATCGGGAAGGTCTGTTAATTTTGTCCGATACTTGTTTTTCAAAAAATTAATTTTTGAAAATGATGCCTCACAAATGTATGTCGAACCAAACATCGTAGCCAAGTTGATTGCCAGTTGCTTACAGTTTGAATACTTGTCAATGGCGTCTTTAGCCCAGAATTCTTCAGTTGACGCACTTCTGTACTGCTTCAAGGAAACATCTTCCTGTAGGTCTATTATTTCCATTTGGAGTTTTGACTTTGAAAGATTAAATAATTTTTCAGCTACATCAGTCAATTCTCAGTCTGGGCCCCACGTATTCTCCGTCCCAAGGGGTTTTTAAGAATTGTGATAGTTGTTTTCCTATTTCAGAAAAGTCTTTGAATCTAGCATCGAATTCCTCTATAAGATCTGACAAAAAACTTAAAAATGTTCGATGTTTACAATTTCAGAATAATTTTTGCATTCAAATATTGTGGGAAAGTGAATCAATTTTTTTTGTTCAATGTCTCGTTCAAATATATTTAGTTTGAGACGGAAAGCAGACACACTTTGTATTAAATCAAATATTAATTTCCCTTCTCCTTGTAATAAAATCCAACATACACTCTTTTACTATTTCGGAATCGGAAAACGGTTTTTGGTGCTTATTAAGAACCCAGCACACAACGCTGCTTCAGTTGATTTCTCTTGTTCACTCATACACCGTATAAGTGTAGTCGTACTATTTTTGTAAGATAACATACGTGCATGGAGCTTATTTTTACGCACATCACTGCCTGGAGGAAATTTTGTATTAAAATCTTTATGAGTAGTTTTATAATGTCGTTTTTAATTTCCACTTTTAATAATAGCGAAAGTTGAATTGCAAATTAAACAGACTGGAATGGCCCCAACCCTTTCAGGCAATACAAAACAATATAGTTCAATCCACTCGTTCATAAACTTCTTATTTTAGCTGTCGATTTTGCGTTTTTTACTCAACATATTGAACGAATAATATAAAACAAAACACGCACTGTATCCACCGGCGAATGTACACGTACTAGGTCTGGACACGGCTATGGTAATATAGCTGGTATTGGTAGATATTGTGTTCAGTTTCTTCTAATACAGGCAGATCGTCACCATTAGTGTAATGTGTTATTAGTAATTAGTATAAAGATATATGAAACCAAATAATTTTATCAACGTTAGTAACAACTATGAAACGGTACACACCACACTCGATGTGACACCGCCTCGTACAATATAACTAGTAAGTTCAAACCGTAGGAATATACTTTTATTGTACTGCTAACATATTTTATATACATGTATAATTTACAGGGGAGACGGATACCTATCTGTTAATTAATTGTTAGTCTCATTTTATTTTGTGTTATGTTAAGTGTTATCATTTATATCTTTATCACCAAGTTAGGTAGAACCTCGGTTGTACTGTGATATGCCTCCGAAATGTAATTTATTATACCTGTTGTTTTTAAGGTTGTTAACGAGTGGGATTATAATTACTTAACCAGCATCGGAACGTAGATACGGTTATTGTCGTAAAAACAATACGACGATAACATCGACACTCCACCGTATCATAATCCCAAGATGATAAACAAAATACGACCGGCACGACACAAAATCCAATACCATACCTTTATTGTTGGAATTATAAACAAAACACCCTATATAATGTAGTGTATAAGTAATATATTCACACTGTAGTTCAGCAGACATTGACTATACATTTTTATAATACTACAGCATAAATGTCTTGTGTAGTGTAGCCGGGTATAATACATATTACATAATTAGTCGTTGATTTATATTACGCCTCGTAACACTATTGTACATCGTATCATTATCCTTATTATTATATATATATCCGATTTTATTATTATTTACCTTTAACTTCTGTATATCTGTGTACTTCAACAGATTATGGGCCCAGTAGTAAGGTCTTTATAATAAAGTTGTGAATAGTTATTAAAATGATAATTGATTAACGAATTGCGAGTTTTTGTGTACAGACCGTGTACATCAATAATAATTCGCGAAGTAAGTGCAGTGTAGTGTGAGTGCGTTTCTTAGTGTGCAGATAGTGTACATTTACGTTTTTTTAAATATGGAGAACGAACAATATAAAATCAACAAACTCATAGATGCATCAAATTGGGACATGTGGAAATTTCAAATTAAGGTTATCCTGAATGCAGCTGAAATATTTGATGTAGTAACAGGAAAATCAAAGACACAAATTTTAGCAAAAATCGGTAATGAAACTGAAGATGAAGCGAGAAAAAGGCATAGATTTTTAAATATGGAAAATGTCAGATAATAAGGCTCAAAAATGTATCTACACATGGTTAGATGAACAACCTCTACAATACATTATGAACTGTGACACAGCAAATGGTATGAGGAACAAATTACTTAGTGTGTACGAACAGATGTCGGACACAAGCATAACAATAGTGCAACAAAAGTTCTATCGTCATACAATGGATCCAAAAGACAATATAGCAGGTCATATTTCAAAATTAGAAAATCTAAGTAGACAACTAAAACAATTGGGAGAACTTATTTCAGAATCAATGTTGATTATAAAAATTTTGATGACATTACCTGATAGCTATAGGCACTTCTACAGTGCATGGGACTCAATGAATAGTGCAAATAGAACGCTAGAACAGTTAACCACTAGATTGATGGTGGAAGAAACACGACAAGTTCAAGGACAGGAGGTCCGTGATGATGGTGCTGAAAGTAGTGCTTTGACTGCAACCAAAGGCAAGTATAATAAAAGTCAAAAATACGTGAACAAAAATGATAATACAAAACCAGGAAAATGCAATGACTGTAAAAAACCAGGGCACTGGAAAAGGGACTGCAGGATATTCAAAAAGGAACAAGAAAAAAAGAAATCAACTTCCGGTTTGACGCTTATTGTTGTACAAAGAAAAAATGAAGAAATCGACGCCTCCGAAAAATGGTATGTAGACTCCGGTGCGAGCGACCACATGACAAATCGAAAAGAGTGGTTCGTCGATTATAAACATTTTGATGTGCATTCGCTTGTACGTATTGGAGATGGTAAGCACATTATGGCAGTCGGAAAAGGTAGCATAAATATTGATACTTATGTTGACAATAAGTGGATAAAAGGCAGAAGGCAGAAGCAGAAGCAGTCAATACAGTAGTGTTCTCATTAAATTATACTGGTAATTCAGGGAAAGTATGTAAAACTCCATACGAGTTATGGTTTGATAAACTTCCTAAAATAGAAAAGTTCGTAGAATTTGGAATAAATGCATATAGTTTAGTTCCAAAACAACGACGAAGGAAGTGGGATACAAAAAGTCGAAAAGGATACTTTGTTGGATATTCAGAAACTTTAAAAGGGTATCGTATTTGGTATATAGAAAATAACGAGGTGTCATTTAGTAGAGACGTCATTTTCAAGGATGAAAATGTTGTAAATTACCAACTTGTAGGTTCTAATAACTTAAATAATAGTAATAACATTGATGTTCTTAGCTTACACAAAGACGGCTCATTAGAACACATCAATAAACCAGAAGGAGATGAAGTCATAGAAAATGAATATGGACCAATAAGTGTAGATGACAATAAAAGTCAAGAACATGAACAAGGAAATGGGTCAAATGTCAACGTGTACAACTTGCGAGTCGAATCCGATCCAGTGAATTTCAAGGAAGCTGTGGAGTCACAAAATTCAGAAAAATGGGTGGAAGCCATGAACAATGAAATGGAATCTCTTGAACAAAACGGAACATGGTCTCTCGTAAAGTTACCTAAGGACAGAACTATTGTAAATTGTGGTTGGGTGTATAAAACAAAATACAATGTTCATGGATATTGGATATGTTGATCGATACAAAGCTAGGCTAGTAGCAAAAGGGTATAGTCAAATATTCGGTATTGATTTTAATGAAACTTTTAGTCCTGTAGTAAAGTTCGATTCAATTCGGTCTGTATTAGCTATATCAGCAGCAGAAAAATTACAACTTCTACAATTTGACGTTCAAACAGCGTTTTTATATGGAGATTTGGACGAAGAAATTTACATGAGAAAACCAGAAGGGTTCAACGATGGTACTGAAATGGTGTGCAGACTTCAACGCAGTTTATATGGTCTAAAGCAGTCACCACGATGTTGGAACATGAAGTTCAAAACATTTCTTCTTAACTTTAATCTATTAGAAACAAAAGCAGATCCCTGTGTTTTTGTTAATAGAGAAAATAACAAAGTATTAATCGTCGCTATATTCGTTGATGATGGTCTAGTTGCAGCTACATCGAGTGAGGATGTAAATGCATTAATGGAATATTTGAGACAATATTTCAATATTACCGAATTAGAATTGAATCAATTTTTAGGTACAGAAATTGTGCAAAAATCTGATGGTTCAATTGTAATGCACCAAGGGTTGTATTGTAAAAGAATATTGGAGAAGTTCAATATGACTGAAGCAAATCCAGTTCAAATACCAGCAGACCCTCAAAATTCATTAGATTCAACAAAACACCAATCTAACTAGTAAAGTCACATATCGTGAAGCAGTCGGAAGCTTATTATATCTCAGTCAGATTACAGGACCGGACATAACTTTTTCAGTAAATCTAGTTAGTAGATACATCGAGGATCCAAAGGAACAACACTGGACAGCAGTGAAACGAATTTTAAAATATTTAAAGTGAACTATTAATTTTGGATTGATATTTAGTTCTAGACAAAAACTCATGTTAAAGGGATACAGTGATGCTGACTATGCAGGTGACTTGGATACAAGAAGGTCAACATCAGGGTTAGTATTTACATTAGGATCTGGAAGTATAGCATGGAGTTCACGTCGCCAACAGTGTGTCAGCCTTAGCATAACTGAATCAGAGTACATAGCTTTAAGTCAAGCAGTACAAGAATTAACTTGGTTAAAATTGTTTTTAGGTGAATTGCTGGACCAGCCAAAAATTTTGCACACAATGTATGGAGACAATCAAAGTGCGATTTAACTCGTAAAAAATCCAGAGTTTTATAGTAGAACAAAGCATATAGATGTTCGCTACCTCTATATAAGAGAAAAGTTCAATGAGGGATTGTTTTCATTGGAGTACATATCCAGCAAGGAGCAGATTGCGGACATTATGACAAAGCCAACTCCACGAACGCGGTTTAATGAGCTAAGGGAGATGTTAGGAGTTATAAGTATTGATGTATAAGGGTATATTGTTTAAGGGAAAGTGTTGGAATTATAAAAAAAACACCCTATATAATGTAGTGTATAAGTAATATATTATTCACACTGTAGTTCAGCAGACCTGACTATACATTTTTATAATACTACAGCATAAATGTCTTGTGTAGTGTAGCCGGGTATACATATTACATAGTTAGTCGTTGATTTATATTACGCCTCGTAACACTATTGTACATCGTATCATTATACTTATTATTATATTATATATATATCCGATTTTATTATTATTTACCTTTAACATCTGTATATTTGTGTACTTCAACAATATCCAAACCTATCTTGTACCGACGACTATGGAGTATTGGTTGACATACTATTATTTATCTTGAGAGTGATGAAACAGACAACTCACTGGAGAGTTGACGTTTCTGCGGAAAACACAGCACAGTCAGTGGCGTATTTACGGGGGGGGTCCCCGGGTCTGGACCCCCCCCCCCAGAAAAAAATATAATATAATATAATTATTACATCGTAACTCGTATGTGTTTTTTAGATTCTGAGTGAAACGATGAATGTATTGATTTTACAATGATGTGTGTTTTTTTATTTTTTTATTTTTTTGTATCTGTGTACACGATAAGTAGTCGAAATAATGCTTCGATTTTCGACTTCAGTATCTTGTTCGATTGGAAAAAAATATCGTTGGTGCATTGGGGAGGTCAAAATTTAAATTTCCCAGTAGTTTTCACAAGCGCCGGGAAAAACAACATAAAAATTAAGGAAAAACGGGAATTTTTACGCAAAATTGATTTTCCAAAAATCGATTTTGGTTATTGGTGTAACTCTAAAACAAATGAACGTATATACATGAAATTTTCACTGGTTGTTTATATTTGCATTTTCTATACACGATAACATTTTCAAAATATTTTGATTTATTTTGAACTGTTTAGGGACATTTTCATTTTCCATTTTTTTTTAGTTTTTTTTCTAAAAATTTCAATAAAATTTTATTTGTTGGTTGCGAAAGATTGAAAATTTAATAGAAGGCTCCTAATATGTTGTTTCAAAGGCAGATGAAAAATATTAAAAATCCTTAGTCACAATTTTTTTTTATAAGCATTTAAAGTTCAAAAATTGACAAAATATGGAAAAATCACGAAAATTAGCAAATTATTTTGAGTTAAGAATTCGTAAAAATTTTTCTTTTTAAATCTAAGATTTGAAAATCTAATACAAGATTACTCATAAGATTGTCTACCTTTATCAATAAAAAAATTTCTACCGGAAAGTCAAATTAAATTTTTATGAGCGTTTGAAATTCAAATTTTTACAACATTGGATATTCACTCGATTTCTCATGTGGCAATTTCCTTTTTTTGTTGTAATTAAAAAACGAATTACTGTAGATACATGAAAATTTCACTGAATGTTTATATTAGCATTTCCTATACACCCTACAATTTTGAAAATATTTTGACACTTTTTGAACCGTTTACGGACATTTTCAGTTTTCAATTTTTTTAGTTTTTTTTTTCTATAAATATCAATTAAGTTTTATCTGTTGGGCCAAAAAGTGTAAAAATTTAATACAAGGCTCCTGATATATTGTTACAATATCAGTTGAAAAATATTAAAAATACATAGGCACAATTTTTTTTTATAAGCATTTTAACATCGAATTTTGATAAAATTTTTCAAAATCTCGAAAATTATTAATCATCGTAATTAATAAATTATAAAATGTTCAGTTTTTATAGCTAAGGATTGAAAATTTAAAACAAGATTCCACGTAAGTAGTTAATTCTCTTACCGAAAAATCTAAAAAATATACAATCACAGTTTATTTTTATAGTCATTTTATGTTCAAATTTGGACGAAATTACATATTAAAAAACCTAGTTATTTTGTTGTGATTATATAATATTATTCGTGGGTACCTACTTGAAACTTCTAAAGTGTACTATTATATATATATATGATAGTATCAGGGTTTGTTGTTGATGTTGATGTATAACGTGTTATAAGTACCTTATGGATATTGTGATAATGTGATATGATTAATTTGGAATTTATTATAGGTCAATTTTTTTTTTAATACCATAGATATGTATATAATATGTCTTAAACCTAGACTGACATACCGTCTTCGCTCAGAATCGTTTTTCTTATACAATGATATTGTATCATTGAATTCAAATTTAATAGCATCCATTATACAGTGACCCACTTGTAACCTACTGTACAGCAGAGCGACATCCACTTACCCACCTTTTTTATATTATAAACTTGTAGGTACCTAATATTTAGACCCCCCCCCCCACAAAAAATTTCAAAATACGCCACTGAGCACAGTATACGTTTGATTACGACCAAACGCTTCGGCGGTAAGTAAATATTAATACTACGCCTTGTTAAAAGTCGTAAGTTATAGTACTTACACGACACGTACTGTGGCCGCCCCTTTGGGGCTGTGTGCCGATAATATGTACGAATATACGCGTGCAAAAAGATTTGGCACAAAGCCATGATGCAAAAAGATTCGGCATATAGCAGAGGGGACCCGCGTATGTCGTCGTCGTCGTCGTAAGAATTACTACTGGGCCCATAACCTGTTGAAGTACACAGATATACAGAAGATAAAGGTAAATGATAATAAGATCGGATATATTTAATATAGGTAATAATAATTATAATGATACGATGTACAATAGTGTTACGAGGCGTAATATAAATCAAGTATCTACGACTAACTATGTATACCCGGCTACACTACACAAGACATATATGCTGTAGTATTATAAAAATTTATAGTCAGCGTCTGATGAACTACAGTGTGAATATATAACTTATACACTACATTATATAGGGTGTTTGTTTATAATTCCAACAGTTAGTGTTGGGCAACGATATAATTTTGTATATCGATATCGTTCAGATTTTTCCTTAATCCACAGTGTAATTTGTGTCGTCGGTGCGACGTATAAACGTCCGTTATTCTCTGAATTCTCCAATTTAACCTTTCAAAAGTACAAACTTTATTCACTTTCGCATCACAAAAGATGCTGACGTTTAAAATCGAAGCATTATTTCTATTAGAAAAATTATTTACAGGCAACAAAAAACACACACACATCATTACAAAATCAATCCTTCCCCTCAGAATCTAAAAGTATACAAAACATCTTAGGTTCTAGCAATATTTCATAGAGATTCGTAGGAATGACGTACTAATTATACGAACAAAAAAATTGCGAAAACCCATTATTACTCATGAGTGGGGTGGTGAAACGTGTTCCCAGCCCCACCCACGGAAATTTTGATCTTGCGGACAGAATTTTTTCATAGAAATTCTGAAACCTATCATAGAAATTCATAGGAATTCATATTAATGACGTACTAATTATACGAACAAAAAAAATTGTGAAAAGTTTGACGGGTGGGGCTGGGGACAAATTTTTTATACATGGTAGGTTAAATAAAGTAAATATTACTTAGGCCTATTTAATAATAATAATAAGCGATAACTTTCTTAATTACATAGTTAGAAATAATTTCTGGATTTAAATATAACTTTTACGTTCCAAATCCCAATGATATTAAAAATACATAATATATTAAACTGACTATATTTAAAAGTAGTTATTAACTATAAACGCTTTTAATTTTTATTTATATGTATATTTTTAATTTATTTCAGAAGAAAAAAAAGGAAATCAATATGCAATATGTCCAAAAGAAACTTTGAAATAATTATAGAATCTGAAAAATTTTCAATTTAATCAAATGTTGTAAATATAACCACAGTCACATCAGTAAAACAAAACAATACTATTATTTTTAAATATATCAATGATTCAACAACTGCTCAGATCCTAGCTTCAACAAATGTAAGTTACAGCATACCTCAAACATATTTCTGTTCAAATTTTAATTCAATCTCTAATAACACAGATAACTTGTTAACCAATATGAGTGTAACAAATAATTCTAACTATGAAATAAAAAATACCTTTAAGTTTAGATGAAAAACTTAAAAAAAATAATTACCTATTAAATATCATGTTTCACATCATTTTGTAAACAAACTATTAGAATTTAAGATGTGAAGGATTAAAATTGCCCAAAGATGTTCGTACATTACTCAAAACTCCAAAAAATCGTGAAAAACAGTTATGGATCCTGGTACTTATATACATTTGGGTACAGAGTTTATGTTAAAACCTATACTACTCGAGTATTTTAATTATATCAAAATGTTTGATATAATAGAGTTTGATATGATAGAGTTTGATAGAATTAATATAATTTGGTTTGAACATAGATGGTTTACCAATCACAAAAATTTTGTAACCCTGTTTCTAGTCGATTTTAATTTCTTTTGTAAATGTTCCAAATTGGACAAAATAGTTTTACCAGTTGGAGTTTATCATGGTAAATTAAAGAAACTAAATTGTATTATGTATTACATTTCTAGAACGTTTTATAATTGAAATAAAAACAATATTATAAGATGGTATTTGTGAACACGATAAAACATTTATATTTAATATTTCTCAAGTTGTCTGTGATGCCCCTGCCAAAGCTTTTATTTTAAATGTGAAAGGCCACAACGGTTATAACAGTTGTAACTCTTGTATAATTGAAGGTTAATTTATAAACAACAGAATGTGGTTTGGTGATATCAATGCACCATTAAGGACAAATGAATCATTCCGCTTAATAATATATGATGAATACCATAAAGACTTGTCTACATTAGAAAATTTACCTATTAACATCACTTCATCATTAGTTTTAGATTATATGCATAACGTTTGTTTAGGGGTTGTTTATCAAGAATGTTATCATTATCTCATTATGTAATCAATTAAAATACAGTCCACTGCACGTCTTATCAAATTTAAAAACTAACCTTCAATTTAAAAAATGTCAATTGATGCACAGTCATGTCTAGTCGGCTTTTGCGCCAAAACGGTTATGTTTTCTTATGTTGTTGAAATGGGTTTTATAATAAGTTAAAGAACGAAACCTACATCAATTTTTTGAGTTCTACTTTTTTTCCCAACATTTAATGGTCAATTCGAGCAGGAAATGAATTCTAGAGTCGTTCGCGTCACATTCGCAAATACGTCGGTCGTCGGTCATGTACGCGTTACATTCGTGTTTATTTCTGTGTCGTGCGTTTTATAATCGCGTAATCGGCTTTCCGTCTATTAGTAGTGACATAATTGATTCAAGATGGAGGAGAAGTTGAAAACTCTACGAAAAACTCTCTCAAACAAGGAAAAGCTGATAAGGAAAAAATTACACATGGTCTCCACATCGACAATGGAGGGTCTGTCGAGTCACGAAATAAAAGGGCATTTAGAACTGTCTTACAGAAAGTGCATTTTACAATGTATGTAAATGCACACGATGAGCTGTCCTTGTTGGTAGATGACTCTGAGGTTGATTTTCTGATTGACGCCTTGGAAGAGGTATCTCATACGTTCATTAAAATCAAGGGGATTTTTCAAAGTACATTAGACTTAAGGCAAACTACATATGAACCTCAAAACGAAAATACACTTAGCGAACAAGGGCAACAATCCATCAGATTACCTCCCATGTGTCTGCCTTCATTCATGGGAATATTGGAAGATTCGTATGCTTTCCATGACCAATTTTCATTTATTATTCACAATAATAAGCACATTGACAACACCAGAAAAATGCACTTTTTAAAATTATGTTTATCAGGAGAAGCGGCTGATGTAATTGCGTCATTATCATCAACTGGTATCAATTATCTGGAGGCTTGGTCGTTAGTGACAAACCGTTATGATAATTGTTGAATATAATTTAATATTGTATAAAGAATCATCATATTGTGCAACAACAACATCGTTGCTATTAATAATGTGCAAAATCACGCCATATATTTATTAGCGAATCAAATATTGTTAAACAGTGGCGTGAGAATTAGGTCAATAGGTCACTTGTATATAAGGCCGACTTTTAGCATACTGTCTCTACTACAGTATAATATAACTCATGTATAAGTCATGTGTTTAGTAAATATTACTTATTACTAAAAACAGTGTAGTCATTTTTGTCCAGATCGATCTACAAACATAATCCTAAACTCAAAAATAATGAACGTCCTATTCTACAAATACACTTGTATTAAAACAACTACTGAGTCTTGGGGTACAATTGTAATTTACGTAATATCATCCCGTTTACCAAATGAACTCAGAAAATCATGGGAAATTGAATCATCTGCCTATGGGTGTCCATCTTGGTCACAAATGTGTAAATTTATGGAGAAAATAAAACATGTGTTAGATGTATTACAGCTATAATCATCCAGTACACCCAGATCTAAGCTTACCAACAAATGTAACAGTCGAGCAACAACTCATTCTGTGACTGCAGCACAAGGAAATAAGCAGCAGTGCAATATTTGTTCACAGCATCATATTATTTATCAGTGTAATTTATTTATGAAGTCAACACCGAGTGAGCAACATGCATTGGCTAAGAAGGCCAAATTGTGTATAAATTGTCTACGGGCCTCATATTCTTCCAGCCAATGCTCTTCTGATAAAACATGTAAAGCATTTGGTTGAAAACACCATACACTTCTACACTTTGGTGACTCTGAGGGCGATAAAAATACCTCTGAAGTGCCCATGTCGACTATCAATACACAAACATCAGCATAGACACTGTGGCAGTCAATCATGGTGCCTTAAGAGAAAAGTCAACTGACATATTATCCACAGCAGTGGTGTGAGTACACAGACCAAGTGGATGGTCAGAACTATGCCGTCCATTAAAAGACACTGCTTCAGAATCACATTTTATTACTAAAGCCTTAGCCAGTCGATTAGGTTTAAAAACATTGCATCAGCCAATGATAATAATGGTGTATCAAATGCTTCTACAACCACATCTGAAGTTTCAACGTTCAATATTTCTCCTAAGACGAATGGTAAACAAATGACGTTAACTGCCTTAGTATCTCCTAAGATAACTGTTGATCTACCCACTGCAGCAGAGGATGTTTCACAGTGGACTCATCTGGAACAGGTTGAGTTAGCAGATCCAACATTCCATGTCCCCAACAAAATCGACATACTCATAAGTGCTGAATACAGTCTGGATATAATGTTAGATGGTAAAATACAAGGACCCAAAGGTACGCCTTCGTTACACAACTCTATCTTTGGGTGGATAGTATATGGAAAATTATCCAAACCTCACAATGAACTATCAATGTTTAAGTCGGTCACGTGTTGTACTACTACAGTTGAATCACTTGTGAACCGATTTTGGGAACTGGAAGAGATACCACGCCTTACATTTATGTCCAAAGAAGACCAACAGTGTGAAAAGCACTTCGTTGAAACACTTACTCGAGACAGCTCTAGCCGTTATACCGTAAGACTTTCTTTTGTTAAAGAACCACCACTAGTGAACAATTCTTACCAGCTCGCTGTTCAACGCTTGAAGAAAGTAGAGAGAAGGCTACAAACCAAACCTGCCTTACATCAACTCTATAAAGACTTTATGAGTGACTATAAAACAGCCAACCACATGACAATGGTTGATTCCACTAGTCCACGTCCGATCATATTCATTCCACATCATCAAGTCTTAAACCCACCAAGCACCACTACAAAGCTTCGTGTTGTGTTCGATCGTGCACTATGGACACAGGAAACTCATTGAATGAACTACTTCACAAAGGATAAGAACAACAGAAAGAGGTAATTGACATATAAATCCGTTTCTGTCTACCTCGCTATGTTATTACCGCAGATATTCGACATATGTTCCGACAAATCTTAGTACACCCCGCCGATCGTGTCTACCAAGGTATTGTCTGGCGTCCAAATGAATATAGTCCAATAAGAATTTATACCTTAAATACGGTGACCTATGGGCTTATCACATCACCATACCATGCTTTACGAGTCCTGAAGCAATTGGCCTACGACGAGCAAGGGACTCATCCTGAGGCATCTGCGGTGCTACAGCGAGATTTCTATGTAGATGAGGTAATGACCGGACGAGATGACGTTACTGCCACAATCAAGCTACACCAGGAGCTGCTGCACTTGCTCGCCGAGGTGGGTTTGAATTACATAAGTGGGCCACCAACTGCGAGGCAGTTTTAACGCACATTCCTATAGCACTAAGAGCTACTCAACTAACGCTGATCGACCACACGGATCCGTCAATCAAAATATTGGGTATTATCTTAAAATGCTCAAAGAGATACGTTCTCATTTCATGTTTTCATGTTTCAAATTGCGAGGATTCTTGATCCGTGTGGATGGTTAAGCCCACTTGTGATCGTTGCGAAGATCATTATGCAACACCTGTGGAAGAACAAGTTGGATTGGGACGACCCGCTGCATGACACACTGATCAAATGGTGGTCGGATCATCGATCTTCCTACAGTGCTCTTCGATCCTTTGAATTACCATGACATTGCAATGACGAACACACTCTGGTAACCACATATAGTCTGCACGGTTACAGTGACAGTTCGGAACAGGCTTATGCTGCTGCTCTTTACCTACTGTCGGTGTTTCCTGACGGCCGATCATCATCACATTTAGTTCTGTCGAAGAAAAAATTCGCACCTCTTAAGACCCAATCAATACCAAGGCTTGAGTTGTGTGGTGCTACGTTGTTAGAATCCTTGACCAAACACCTACTAGAGGCTCTGTCTACAATCAACATTGAATCAGTTAACTTGTGGACGGATTCTACCATCACCCTATAGTGGATTCAGAGTGATCCACACCGGTGGACCACCTTCGTATCCAATCGAGTGAGTCAAATTCAAACATGGTGTCCGTCAGCGGTGTGGTGGCATGTCCCGTCTCAAGACAATCCTGCGGACCTGGCCTCCAGGGGGCCGTCAGGTGATCAACTCATTATGAATGCCTTGTGGTAGCATGGTCTACAATGGCTACTACCCCCCAATCCATGGCCGCAGTCTACGTTCGAAGGTAAAAATCATAATCAAACTCTCTAAGAGGAACGTAAGCCACATGTAACCATACATGTGACTACTGAAGCTGACGCGTTTAACTCCAACTTTCTAGCTAAGTATTCGGATTTGAGTAAGTTATTACACATCACTTGTTACATTTTACGATTTTGCCACAACTGCCAAAGACCTGTAGTTCTTCACTTAACTGGATTACCTACTGTTTATGAATGGCGATCAGCCAACTTAAAATGAATCAACAGTACAACAGGCACAACAGGAATGCTTTCCACTCGACATTCATCAGCTGCAACTGGGTCTCCCTGTCAAGTCATCCAGTACTCTGGTCAGTCTAAACCCCTTCCTTGCATAGCAGGGGTCTTACGCGTTGGTGGTCGACTCACTCAATCCAGTTTACCTTATGACATGAGGCATCCAGTTATCTTAACCAAAGGCACATCTGTACACAACTATGGCAATATGCTCCATCCACCTTCTTCACCAGCATGCTGGTCTCAATGTCAGAATGTCTCTGGTGCGGCAGAAGTATTGGGTTGTACACGGGCGCAGCATCATCAGAAAGGTTCTTTATGATTATGTTAAGTGTTACAGATTTCGACAAGTCAAAACCCACCAACTTATGGCTGACTTACCTGTCTTTAGAGTTAATTATGCACCAGTGTTCAGCCATTGTGGAGTTGATTTTGCAGGACCTTTCAGTACTAAACCCTCAGTTGGACGTTCAAGAATTGTATCCGAAACATATTTAGCTCTCTTCATTTGCCTGACCTCCAAGGCTGTACACCTAGAAATAGTGAGTGATTTATCAGCTGATACCTTCATCGCCACCTTGAAACGTTTTGTTGTGAGGCGAGGCTACCCAACTAAAATGTATAGTGATTATGGTACAAATTTTACTAGTACACATCATAAACTACATGAGGTGTATAAACTGTTGAGCTCCCAACAATTGAACAAAGCCCTGAATACTTTCTGTTTGTCCAGAGAGATAGACTGGTACTTTATCCCACCAACTTCGCCCCATTTTGGTGGTATTTGGGAAGCTAATATCAAATCTTTTAAACGCATACTCCAACACATCACTCTTAATAGTGTATTTATATATGAAGATTGAAGAATTACACACACTATTTTGTCAGGTCAAAGCGCAACTTAATTCTGGACCACTTTTCCCCGCCAGTATGGAAGCCACCGATTATTCAGCACTGACTCCCGGGCACTTCTTGTTAGGTAAAGCTCCCATGTCACTACCGGAAGTCAACATTCCGGAGAAAACACCTACCAATCGACTCACCGGGTGGAATAGAATACAGAAATTGCAGCAGTCCTTTTGGAAGCAATGGTCGCAAGATTACCTGGCCACACTACAACATCACTCGAAGTGGACAACTGCCCAGCCGAACCTGCAAATCAACGATCTAGTTCTCGTCAAAAAAAAATATGGCTCCTACTGAGTGGCCCTTAGCCAGAATTCTCCAGGTGCATCCCAATCCTGCAGATAACCTCGTGCGAGTTTTCAGACTTAAGACACAGGATTCGGTGTTAAAGCGTCCTATCAATAAACTCATAAGACTGCCTATCGAACATTAGTTTAAACTGGTTACCACTAATTAAATCAATTATTCCATTATTTGTTTTGTTATTAATTAAATAATTTAGTGTCACCTTATGTGAATTTTATATTGTTATGTTATTAGTTTGTACTCTGTTCAAATCTATTTGTACCTTACCCCATTAGGCAATTTTTACTAATATGTCAATGTTTGTAGTATTTATTTAGTCTGCTTCCTTTTGAGAATACCTCTCAAGGGGGCCGGTATGTTTATCAAGAATGTTATCATTATCTCATTATGTAATCAATTAAAATACAGTCCACTGCACTTATCAAATTTAAAAACTAACCTTCAATTTAAAAAATGTCAATTGATGCACAGTCATGTATAGTCGGCTTTTTCGCCGAGACAGTTATGTTTTCTTGTCGGTTTATGGTCACATCCCCGTCTTCAATTTCCCCGTCAGACATTTCCCCGTCTGACTAATTTTCCTGTCGGACATTTCCCCGTCTAATTCAAATTTAAAATATAATAACTGTAATGTAAGCATATTTTTAAATATATTAAAATTAAAAAACTAAAACTAAAACCTACGAGTGATCACTACTATTGAGCTGATGTTAAATATTATTTTTATTTTTGTATCTCTAAATTATGTGCTATTCCAATTAAATATTCTTTTTTATCGCGATCATTGTAAATAGTTACAATATTTTTTATCCGTGTGGCTACTTCTCTATATTTTTTTCATTTAGCTGGTGGTTCTTGACCAACCATCAACTGGTTAATTTTTATTTCAGTTAATTCTTGTTCTTTTTTAAGGGTATCAATTAATCGCCATATAGTTGTGTGAGTTGCGGCTAACAAAGATGAAAAAGCTTTATGCCAACCTTCGACTGAGTTATTGTTTCAGGTAATCCTTCAAGTGTCGAGTCATATTGGTTCCATAAATCTAGACCAAATGTAGGTGGACGACGGATTCTTAATCTTGTTGGTCTACCAATCCACGTATCTCCAAAGTAATCAGTTAGTGGACGCCAAAGCTCTTCGTGTTCTACAAAAAAACTCTGTGACATTAGTTCGTCAAATGTGTCTACATCAGGTACTGGAATGAACGCTAATGGCATTAATTGCTTTATGTTTAAAGCAAAATCTGCATCTGAAATATATTTTTCACGAATATCAGAAATAGTCTGTATTTTTCGCCATATACACTGCCCAAAGTGAAAAAAACACCCTCTAATTTTGGTGTTTGTAAAAACATCAATAAATGCACCAAATAATGCTTGTTAAAAATAGGTCATAATAGTTACTGGTTGTAGGTTTCTATTTAAACTTAAAAGTTCTCTTGCTACTCGATCATAACTATCTTTTGTTTTATTTGGAAGAAGCGTAAACACCAACGGCAAAACTATGTTGAATTTTATAGAATGTATGGTAAGAAGCTGAGTAAACAGGTGCGGGGATGATTTAAATGTACCATCAATAAACCAGTGACATTGTTCGGATGATAATATTTTCAAATTTTCGTCCGTGGAAAATAATAAAATCCCATTAGCATTACCAACACCGCTGTCATAAAGAATGATTGGATCATTACTTAGTGTACGCGTATATGGCTCAATAAGAATCAATTCTGCTTAAGTTGAAGGATTTGATGGGGGAGCATTTTCTCGACGTCTGATTCTTTGTACAAATTTTTTCATAGCTGGCACTGGAGGTAAAGTAGCACGTATTGCTTGAGATGAAGTTGGGATTTGAGAAATTACTTGATGCGGTGTAGCTTCAATTTGACTAGTTGCCGTTTCTTTTACTTTTTGTATAAGTTTCTTAGCACCAATTTTGATGCATTTGGTATGTGATTGTGTTCATCTTTGTGGTGTACAACTGCATCATCTTTAGTGTGTGCTCGTCCAAGACACTTATCGGTATTATATTTTAAACATTTCCAATACATCTTACCATTTTTTGTATAATCTTTTTCAAATACATATCCTACAAACACTAACAAATATTTTCCTTTAGAACTTTTAACGTACTCTAAAACCATAATAGATATTGTATAAATTTGTTTAACAACAAATTAAAAATAAAATATTAAATTTGAAAAAAATAAAATTATAAATTAATTATTATAATACGCAATAAACAATCAAATTATAGTAGTTAATTGAAACGACATTAATATAAACGTTGTCGAATATCAAAAGACTGATTATTGTGTATACTACTATAATGTATACCTTACAATCTGTCATTTATATCTTCTCGGTTGCTCTTATCTTAATCACCGATAAAACTAACGTACTACGGCAACGGAATTGTCGCTAACTGTATAGCTAATCTACAGTATGACAATTATACTTATTATATATAATCTACATTGTGATGTATCTACATTTGTGTAACTAAATTGAATTGAATTAGACGGGGAAATGTCCGACGGGGAAACAGTGACGGGGATGTAACCTGCTACTGTTTTCTTATGTTGTTGAAATGGGTTTAAAATAAAAGAACGAAACCTACATCAATTTTGCGTTTTTTTTCCAATAGGGGTAGTAAAAAGGTTTCTAACATTTTGAATTGAAGGGAAAAAAATTGTATGTACAGTTTTTAAATAATGATTTTTAAACAGAAGTATCTTCTACATTAGTTATCTTAAAACCATACTTCCATTCTGGATTTTATAGACTTCCTACTTCCTAGATCTCTTGAAGAATTAAAATACTGGAAAGCAACCAAATTTCGTAATACATGCAGGTTTCTCACTTTATTTTATATATGTAGAAATAAGTACCTATATAAAGTACTTTTGATTGTAACTTGTTATACACACATACATTTCATTTATTTCATTGTATTTAATTGTATGTTAATTGACTATAATATTAAATATTTTTTATACACAAATAGACCTAAATAAATCATTTTATTTGTAATACTTGCAGTTATGTTTATTCTTTATGTATATACATAAATACATACACTATTAAATATACTAAATTATAATTTGTTATACATAAATATAATCGATAAATTGTATATGTATACTTATAATATTATATACAAAATATGTTGTACTATTATTATATATAATATATCAAAACCTATATAATATGCAAGTCCTGTGTTAGTATATAGAAGTAATTATAATCGATTTATTCTGTAGTAAGGTCATTATAAGGAGAAAGATCATTTATTTGGTATGAGTTTTAAAAATGATTTTATTTTTACTTCTTATTATTTTTACTATTTTATACAATAATACTGTTTTTTAGTTAAATATGTTAGCAATAATGAATTAAACCACAGATAATTAAATTAATCATAATAAATATTCAGTTATAATATTTCAAACCAAATTCACATAGGTTTATTGTATAATAGTATATATATATATATATATGATATCATTTAATGATTTAATAGGGTGATTTAATTTCAAATACATCAAAAAGAGGTTAAAAGTAGGAGGTACCTTTGAAATAAAATAGTATATGTCCAGGAGCGACTCCAGAGACAATTCATTAGCTAGTTCAATTAAACAGTTATTTCTTAACTTGGACATAAATAAATTATTTATTTTATTACAAAATACAATGAAATGAAAGTGTCACCAGAATGAGTATTTTTAATTTATTTACAAACATGTGAAGAAACCAATATAAAATGTATAATGAACATAAATAAACAATTTATTTTGGTGTTTCCTCCTTGGAAAAAAAATAACAAAGAACTTAAAAATACTAATAACAATAATGTAGTAATATTGGAATAAACATAATATTAATCGTAATATTTAATTATATAAACTTAAGAAATACCAATATATAAAAGCATAATCCTTTTTTTTTAAAACAAAAATAACAATATTTTTATGAAAAACCCTTCAATAAAAATATACCACATTGAAATTATTTATATAATATGGAATGAAAAATTTAAGGTCCAATGTTCAGTGGTCTACAGACATCTCTATGATTATCATACCAGTCACGTCCCTAAAAAAAGAAAAATTACTTTAATAATAATATTATATAAGACCAGGGTAGTTATTCAACAAATATATTCAAGTATTCTTACTTGGCAGGCATAAGAACAGTATTTCACTATTTTACAGACACTGCACATTATTGTTACAGAGTTGTTACAATTTTTTGCATGACACTAAAAAAAATAGAAAAATGTTTTCAGAATATTAATTTTTATAAACTTAAATATTTCTAAATTAAAATTCAAACCAGTAGTTACTGGGTTATTAAAATGTATATAATAAAAATCATAGTCCACAAATATGATTTTACAAAGTCTAAATGTATGTAATCTATAATCTTCTAAAACTGATTATACTTATAATCAGTAATAATTAATTTATAAGAAAACATTTTTATATATTTAAAAACCCTAAGAGTAATATATATATATAACATCAGTTATTACTTTTGGTATTTAGATAAGGGGAGGGACTTTTAGTTCTCATCTCTCTAAGTTATAGCCACAAAACATTAATATAATTAAAACAATTAAAACAAACTGTAAAAAGACTTTTGCACTTAGAAGTTGTACCGATATAGCAGTTTAGATATGTCAATATCTTAATATTAATATTAGCCAATATAAAAATATTTGTAGCTTAAAAAAGCATTATTATAATTAATATAATGTACTAGTAGAGTAAACTTATTTTTAAGAGGTGATAAAATCCTGTAAAATATAAAATCTATCGCATCTATTTGAAATGATTTTTTCTAATAATTTTCTTGATAAGTCTAAACTTCACCTAATATGTATGTTTCCTCAGTTAAGTAATCCTCACCTCCATCACAAGCATTGCTCAAAGAAGGTGAGCAAACAAATGTTAAATGAAACCTACTAAATGTTATCGGTGTTGTTGTTTTTGTTTGCAATAAATAAATAAATGATATAGTTCACTTATATATTTTAAACTCATGTCACGATACAAATATTTTAAAATAATCAATTCACAATCTAATATTATTTTATAGAATAAGTATTATTAAGAGTTTGTAAAAATGTTTATTATTATACTGATGTATTTTACATACTTTGATAATAACGATTGACGGTGATGTAACTAATATATTAGAACCATTGACTCCTGCTCTCATTTGACCTAATGGCGCCTGAACCAATTTATACTGTTTGTTATCAATTAAAATAATGCCGCCTATAGCTCTATGAAGTTGGCTGTTTATCACAGATTTGTTCTTCTGAATTGATGGGTTGAACGTCACAAAAGTAGTTGGTGTTGATGTAGTTGCAGTTCCTGAGAACGGTGATGTCACTTGCACCAAAGAACTATTAGAAGTAGCTGGCTTAACAACAATACATTTTTTAGTTGGTATCCCTAGTGAAGTAGATGATTCAGACGTTTTCTTTTGTAGTGAATAAGATAATGGTTTATAAAAGTTATTTAATGGCTGGCTTGTTGAACTCGTTGGTTCAACTGCGGTATCACTATTTGACACAGGCATTTGTCTAAAAATATAACAGAATTAATATTAATACAGGAATTCTAATTTTAATTACAATTAATATGTACAATGGAGGAATAAGGAATACTTATAATAGTAAGAAGTAGTATGAATTTTGAGTTTTAATTGGTTAAGATATTAAAAATTGTTAATTACTTTAAAAACCATTAATTTAATTAATAAATTTAATACGTATTTAAGAATCTATAGCTTTATCAAAATTAATCTGACTATTACAGATGTAATTAAAATTACTACAAGTTTATACACAAAATAGAACTTAGAACCTTTGATTGATAATTTAACTACAACTATGAATTTGAAAAGATAATAATATATTTATAATAATAAGTACTACATGCTAAAATATTTATGAAATAATAATACTGTCGTATTATCAGAAATAAATAAGTTAGGAAATCGTAACTATGTAATGGTAACTAACTGATGGGAATATAAAGTGAACTAGTCTTAGAAAACTAAAAATTGGAAAGTCATTAACTGCATGATAAATTAGACAAGTATCATCACAGTTGTACTAGTATGCGCATCTCCTTCACCTCCGTCCTATGTCATAGTTCTTCATTTCTCATTAGTTGATTTTATTCTATGTATATAATTATGTATGTATGATTTATAGCCAATAAGAAGTGGAGAACTACGATATAGGCAAAGTAAAGAGAAGAGGATGCGTATCAAAATACTGTGATGATACCTATCTAGTTTGTCATGATTAACTGTATAGTAGGCGTTGAGCAAGTGTTGAGTGTACCTCAAAATTAAGTAGGTCACTATAATGTATGAATTCAATTTGAATTCAATGATATACCATTGCATATAAAAAATGATGCTGAGGAAAGACGGTGTATCAGGCTATATTACAAAGTATGTTTTATACTTAATATTGATAAAATAGTTAAAAAGTTGAATTATATTTTACCTAAAACATTAAATTTGAAAATTGCATTGAGTGTGTGAAATATAATAATATACTTGTGTGAGAATAAAAGCAAAAACAGTTTAGATACAAAATGTATCTGTTATGGATCTAAACATACTAAAATTATGAATAAATCAAATATTTTATGGCAACTTAACGCTCCTTAACAATGATAAAATTAAAAAAAAACTTACTGGTTAGTTTTGTCTGGATTATTGGCTAGGAACCGGTTTTGAGTTGTTACATCAGAGTTGATGGGTCTTTGAATAGTTTCTGGTACTGGTATTTTGTTATTTGGATGTAGTACAGTTGATGAATCAACGGGATCTTTAAACTTTGAATTAATGCAACATTGAAAATTTGCATTATCGATTAATAATTCCAGATCATCGTTTGAATCACAAGTTACAGCTTTAATAACAGGCTGAAAAAATGTTCGGCTATATACTGTTGATACAAAAAACAATGTCATGCGATCGGTGATTCCGGGGTCAGTATCCCGACTATCTTCAATTATACTTATTAAGTTTATGCACTCAGGTTGAAATGTCTTTGACCGGAACATTGAAAACATTTTTTGTTTAAATTGATGGTTGAATTCACAGTTTTTCAAACTATTCGATAATAAATGTACCACATTTTTGAAGATGCCACCTTTTCCGAATTTTGGCTGATCCAAAACTTGAAGAACAGTTAATATACTTAGAAAAAATATTTGAAATGCTAAATCAAATTCTGATTCTGCAAAAGATGATATGACACATATAAAATTGTTTTTCAACTTTGTTTGCAGAATTCTTTTATGTTTTCCGTGTAATTGGTCGGCATCGCAAATTCCTTTAAGTTTTTCGGCTTCAAATCTCTTCTTATAAGATTCATTAATTCGGTTTTCGTAATATTTGTTAGATATTGAAATAATGTTAAGTATATTTGCAATGATTACAACAGTATCTTGTACACATTTGCTAAAATACTTTATGTATAATTTTTCAATTTTAATTAAATTCGCTCTTACAAGATTTTTGCTATTTAAAGCTTGTTTAACTCCATTTACTTTGTTACTATGTAAAGACGGTTGAAATCTGGTTGTAGAAAGTTTAGCAACTGATACCTTTTTAATTTCAGTTTGTACATGTTTTTGCTCTATACCAAAAGGATTATTTTTCATCCAAATTTTGTAGTCATCTTCTTTCATCATTTTCCTAGGATCAATAACCCTGATCATTGATTTTACATTTTTTTCTGAAGACTTCAGATTCTGAGATTGAGATTCAATAGATTCTTCTAACGATACCTCCGTAGTACTGGTGGTAGTAATTTCCTTATTGGTTTTCAATGGGGACTTAAATTGAGATTTAAATTTAAGAATTTCACTCTCCCTAGATAGTACCAATTTTAAAATATCTGTTCCATTTGTTTCTAACTTCTGTTTTTTATTAGCTGGATCCTCTATAGATGAATAATTGTTATTATATGTTATATCAGCTTTAGTCATTGTTACGTCTTTGGTCGTTTTATCATCTATAGACGTATTAACGTCTTTATAAAAATTATCATTTTCTTTGAGTTTATTACAATCTTCCTTCTGTGTATTTTCTGAAGATTTTTCAGATTCAGATTCTTCTAACAATACCTCCTTAGTACTGGTAATAGTAATTTCCTTATTGGTTTTTAATGGGGACTTAAATTGAGATTTAAATTTAAGAATTTCACTCTCCCTAGATAGTACCAATTTTAAAATATCTGTTCCATTTGTTTCTAACTTCTGTTTTTTATTAGCTGGATCCTCTATAGATGAATAATTGTTATTATATGTTATATCAGCTTTAGTCATTGTTACGTCTTTGGTCGTTTTATCATCTATAGATGTATTAACGTCTTTATAAAAATTATCATTTTCTTTGAGTTTATTACAATCTTCCTTCTGTGTATTTTCTGAAGATTTTTCAGATTCAGATTCTTCTAACGATACCTCCTTAGTACTGGTAGTAGTAATTTCCTTATTGGTTTTCAATGGGGACTTAAATTGAGATTTAAATTTAAGAATTTCACTCTCCCTAGATAGTACCAATTTTAAAATATCTGTTCCATTTGTTTCTAACTTCTGTTTTTTATTAGCTGGATCGCCCTCTATAGATGAATAATTGTTATTATATGTTACATCAGCTTTAGTCATTATTACGTCATTGGTCGTTTTATCATCTATAGACGTATTAACGTCTTTATAAAAATTATCATTTTCTTTGAGTTTATTACAATCTTCCTTCTGTGTATTATGCTGATTTTTATTTAAGCTCCTAAAATGAATTAGAATTAAAAACTAAAATAAAGAAGCATTGAAAAATGTTTTATTTACAGTGGCGTGGGCCATTTTTTTTTTAATATTTTGGATATTCCCGACCTCTCTAATTTTAAAATCCTGTCCACGCCACTGATTATTTGTATTCATTTTTAGATCTAAAAGGGTTCTACACAATTATTTATTGAAATAGTAAAAAAATATAAGTGTAAATTACATAATATAACTCATTAGTGATGTTACAAATTTTTTAAAAATTTTAACCAAAACAAATATTTTGACAGATATAATATCAAAATTATCATATATTTAATAGATTAATTGAAACGCTATAATGTAGTGTGTGATATAAACTTTCCACTATTTAGGTTATGGTTTAATTAAAATGTTTATTGTTCATCTGGACGATAAGCAACTATCGCAATAATACATTAAATGTTATTACTTCTTGAATTATGTAAGAAGACATTCAGAATTGAGAAATGGTTCATAAAAAATGTTGTGATGGACAAAAAAGATAACGCGACTAAAGATTCAATAGTTGAACCAGAAGTGTAACCTGGATCAATTATCAGTTCGCATAGATGGTCTGCTTATAATAGGCTCTCTCAAATAGGAAATTCCCATGAAGTGGTAAATCACAGTGGTCATTTTGTTGATCCTTTTACAGATGAAAATACACAAATTCAGTTCGGAATACAAAAAATTCAAATAGCTATGAATACGATAAACTTAAAGAAAATCAGTTTCAATTTGGTTCGTCCTCAAAATTTAGTGTTTGTATTATCACTAGTACCAACTCTTGTATAAATATAAAAATAAACTTACAATTTACAATTTTGGACATCTTCTGCAGTCAATTGTATAAAAGGATTTCCATAAATAGCATTTTTAAGTAAGTTATCAATATACTTTTTGGTATGCATTTTCGTTCTGAAAAAAAAAAAAATATTTATTAGCATGAGATTAGAAATACAAAGTTCACATTCAAGGTACATATTTTAAAATAAAAATGTTTATTAAAAACCCATTTTATACTTTTAGCAACTACCTAATACTGTTTCATAATACATATGTTATTCATTAAATATATTATATAAATATAACATTAATTAATGTATTTAATCACTCATAAATAAGATTATTGATAAAGAAATACAAAATAAAAAAAAGCCGGCCAAGTGCGAGTCGGACTCGCGCACGAAGGGTTCCGTACCATTATCGTATGTCTGTTGTCATTTGCGGGGTGGGAAAAAAATTCAGGCCAGGTTAATTTTATTAATCAAAGCTTTGTTAGTCAATCCTAGTAGGTACCTTTAAAAATGCAAAAAGAAGCTAAATTTATCCACTGAAACGTTCAAGGATACTGTGATTACTTAATGCCTATCACTAAATAATTACAAAACAACCTAAATTTATAAGATAAATTAATTTATAAAATTACCTTCTCAATGTATAGGTACTTATTTTATTAGTATTAATGCTATTGCGTTAAAATCAACTTTCGCTTGACTGTAAACAGTCGGATATCAAGTGTAACAGTTGTACCTACTACGAATAGCAGTCTTGGTGATGTCGAATATATCTGTTATCTGAATTTCAGCAGTTTCTCCTCAACAGTAGGTACTTGTCGGAGAATAAGTGACTGTATAATTTTGTAACTTAAAACGATATTTAAATTCATAAAACGAATCTTGGTATACGACTTCACCCATGGCAACCATTTATTAACAATACTACGTCACTCGTGGTAACTATTTATAAACAAAAATGTCGGGGTTGCTCCTATCCCTTTTTTTAGTATTTGTTGTTATAGCATCCACGGAAATACATTATCTGTGAAAATGTCAACTTTCTAACTTTCATGGTTCATGAGATACAGCCTGGCGACAGACGGACGGACAGCCGAGCGAAAGTAATAGGCTTCCGTAGGGAAACGTCCGGAACCCTAAAAAGACGATTCTCTTGAGAAAATTTTAATCTTTGGACATAACTTACCTACTAATTATAATTGGATGCAAATCTGTAGTATGCACTGTATAATATATACTATATATAATATATATAATATACTAGTACACCTATTAGTATCATATAATTGATTAGGAAATTATAATACCTACCTATTATTTTTAATAATTTTTAAATAATATTAAATAATTCTTTTATGTGATTTATTGTGGTTATAACAATATGTGATTATCATACATAGGTAATGTGTTTAATGTTCAAAGTGTGATAACTCAATAATTAATTGCGAATAATGAATAAAAAAAAAAAAAAAAATATTAGTACATCGCCCCCAAATTGTTGGAACAAACATTTAGTTGAATACTTATATAACTAACCTAGGGTTCTACCGATGACATTCAATCGTACTTATGATCATATTATTTGTTATGTTAAAATTAAGTTCCTATATTGAAATTAATTTATATCTTAGACCGTTTTTTAAACTGGAAAACTATTGAATATTGGTCATAATGATAATATAATATGTATGATAATACACTTCTGGTCTTTTCCATAAAATTATTGTAAACAATATACCATACTAGAATAAATAATGGATATAGTTATTTGTATGATTATTCTGAATCTATTTCATCAGATTTGTATCATCAATTACAGTGGGCAATAATATAATTTGTTTGCTTATTATTACAGTGTTGTATAAAAATACTTTTAAAGAGTATTTGAGAAGCAAACATTTTAAATATTTTCATTGAATATTGAAAGTAAAGTATTTGAAAAAAATATTCAATACCTGCAGCAAAATAGTATTTAAAATGTATTCAAATTCCTGTTGACGGTTAGTATTATTTAGCGGTATCATATGATACCGTTGTGCATGAAGAGGTTAATACTTAAACAAAGTATTTGAATAGCAAAACTCATTTACCTAATAACACTGCTTATAAGTATACCTACTAATATATATACTGCTTATTATTATTATATTAGTTAGGTACATACTTAATATTTTATTTTAATAGAGTTGACTACCTGGATAGACATTAACAATTTAAATAAATGTTTTTAAAAAAAAAGTTCAATTCAAAAACAAATAAGATAGTATAAAAAAGGGTCCATTAAGAGGTTAACAATGACTGTGCGTCGTTTTATTTACAATATTTTTGCTCACCAAAATATTTTTTCAATCGCTGCCCCTGTTCACCTATCATTAAAATTAATAAACACAATTCATAAATGAGAAATTGCTTGTACAACTCACTATGATAACTTATTAATAATTAGTTTTATTTAACAAACATTATTCCAAATGAAAGAATAATAGTAAATTGTATGAAAGTTTTTAATCAGACATTTGTCCACACTTCATAATACATATTAAAAATGTTTTGACAGGACTTCAAAATTCAGCAAAATTCAATAAAACATTGTTTGTAAACAATTTACTATTTGTTCAATATAAAGTATATACTATATTTTAATATTTAACATATAATAATATTATAATATTTACATATTAAAATAATACATGAAGAATATAAATGGTAGTCGAATAGAAATTAAAAATTAAAAAACAATAATTTTGCATAGGTATTAAATTTGAAATATTACAAAATAGGTATGTACACCAAATTAAATTATGTATCTCAAAATTAAAATAGGTACCTAATTAATTTGGCGATTATTTACAAATTATTAAAAATTGTCTTAATTTTTAAACAAAAAAATTTACTTTAACTGAATATTTTAATTATATCTGTAAAATAAATATTTTTTTAATCAGATTTTTTTTAAAATCTCAAAAAAATACATATCTTCTGAATACAGGAATCGGTTTAATTACTTTATGAATGCACAATGCAAAAATTGAGTTTGAAAATGAACTGAGAATTCGAAAAAACAAAATTATTTTGTCCTGCTACAAATCCTTTTTAATCACTTTAAGATGATTTGAAAATGTTGATAATTAATGTTTAATGAATCTATCAACATTAATAATTTGTAAAAGCTGTTGAAGTATAATAAATACTAGATCCGATATTACATACATTTTATACTTTTGTAAAACCACTTTTAATGGCTATTATCTTTAGTATAAACATTTTTATAACTGAGAATCTCAATCTGAGAAGCTAATAGTTTAAATTGTAAGTTCCTACTATGAATAATGGGTATGGTTTTTGTTCTAAAATTGAAATAAGCAACATTTTATAGTAAATTGTACACCTGAAAATCAGTATTATTAAAATTGTCTAGGTATCCAACAAAGTATAACAATACCTAGAACAATACCTAGCATTATTAAGACTTTCTAGGATTTAATTTGCATAATATCATAAGCATGAGAAAAATTATTTAATTATATACAAAAAAAAATCAATTAACATAATTTATAATATATTGTAGATCACATTAACATTATGGAATAATTATGCAATGAACTTTAAAGAAAAAGAAAATATCATAATAACTTTGGAAAGAGCCAGAGCTACTGAATATAAAAATTAAAAATATTTATCAGTAATTCAATCATCAACAATTTCATATAATGCAATGAAAAGGGGGACATAAAAGGTGAAAATTATAAAAATATGGAAATTAACCAGTCCATTAAAGGGGGGAAAGTAGGTAATCACCCTGCTGTGCAGTAGGCGTCGACTGTATCTCATCATTGAGTAAGCCACTGTAATATGTGTTACACAAGCAATCATGTGTAAAAGAAAAATAGGTTAGGATAACTAGGTAATTTTGAATTATTTTCTACAAGCATACATATCAATCTTTGACATGTGTCATGTATTATTACTTAATATAAATATATTAAACCCATACTATACAGAGATTATACCGAAATATGAATGAAAAAATAAATAAAATGAATTCACACACGTACATAATAATGTGAATATTGAGAACATCGGGTTTTTAATTACGAACATGCACTTTACTCATGCGCATTACTGGCAAAATAGACGCGCGCAACGGTTGTGTGTGAGAAAAAAAATATTTATTGTTTCGGGGAAAAAAATAGAAAACGAAAATACCAAATACCCATAGACAGACGTTGCAATAATTTATTTAAGTCACACAGAAACGTCACGACGTAAAAAATAAAATGGCCGCCGGATAACGCGCAACGGTTGGGTGTGAGAAAAAAAATATTTATTGTTTCGGGAAAAAAAATAGAAAACGAAAATACCAAATACCCATAGATAGACGTTGCAATAATTTATTTAAGTCACGCAGAAACGTCACGACGTAAAAAATAAAATGGCCGCCGGATAACGAGCATCGTGACCTAACCTTAAAGGCTCAGTCAAACAGAGAGCGGGCTGCCATGGTGTACGGGTAGGTACGATGACCTCCGCGGTCGGGCAGCGGTCGGTTAAATTATTTTACATTGCCCGCTTTCTGTTTGACCGAGGCTTTACGCACAAGACGAGAATACGATATAAAATGTGCATTTCTAAATTTCGTAACCGTTATTACGACAAGTAGGTACATACTTAAACTTTGACGAGACGCTGTGCGGTGAATAGCAGCGTCGGCGACTTCGAGTATTCATAGCGACTTAAAGAAGCGAATAACGACGGCTGAAGTACGAAGTGTGAACTTGAGTCTTGAACGAGACAGCGGCGAGTAACGACGGAAGTGACAACCGTCGCCGCCGAAGTCTGGAAAGTGAAAACTCCGAACACGGCACTCGCAGTGACGCAGCCGTCGCATGCCACGCCGATCGGCCGCAGTCGCAATGTCGCATTGTCGCAAGTGGCGGGGAGCCTCATCGATGGATTTGTTGGTAGGCGGACACGGGTGGGCACGTTGCCAACGAAAACCTCTCGCGGAAAAAAGTTTTGCCCGCGTCACTGTTATCATTAGGTATATTATGTTTCTGTGATACAACTATTTCAGCACTATAATAATATTGATAACAATATTATGATATAATCACCGAGATACGTCATAATAATATTATATACCGTATGGGCTATAGCCCATAGACACCACAGATTTCTATATAGTACTAGATAGCTGACTCATGAATTGAAGCTTCAAGGTCGGTTTGCAATTGTATGGTATTTCATACGTCAAAAAGATGATATTATGATTTATTTTGTATCGTATTTTATTATTTCTTATCATGTTGTTTAAAAAAAAAAAAATATTTTATATAGGTAATTTTACATTTACTATTTTATTTGACCCTTAAAAAAATATTATTCCTAATCCATTTTGTGCAATAAATGAAATGTTTTGCCAACCAACAAAATGGCAGCCTTCCACAGCTGAGCTTCACTTGTAACAATGCAAATTGTATAGGAGTTCCTTATCTAGCGTAGTATAGAAGTCTGTGATAGACACGGACTAAGATATACATGACTGGTAACGATAAGGCTGGAGGGTGGTAGAGAGCTGGATACCAAATGTTTTCAATAGGTACATGTGGGACACCTAGTGCTATCTAGTAGGCTTATAGCTCATCTACCATTACTTCTCTATAAATACATTGGCACAGAAAAATAAATTACATTGGTCTCATTGCATATTTTATATTCATTCCATTAGTAAATAGTAGAGTATTAAGACTTTAGAAGTTTACTTACTACTTACTAGAGCGTCTAGATCTACTGCTTGATTTATTTAAATAGTTACGACTATTTTCTACATTTGTGTTGAAATTATAAAATTAAAATACCTCGCCAGTGTTCAGTATTTGTATATACCACTAAGGAAGTAAGGAACGGTCCAATGTTCAGTTGTTTAAAGTTCGAGAATCGTGGGAGGAAATTATTAATGAAGTAAATGGTAATCATAAACGTAAAGTGACATACGTCTGTATAGAACATTTTAGGAAAGAAGATTTGATTAACAGTTATAGTGGGTAATGACTTGGTAATGACTTGGAAGTAAGAAAACATAATTATTTGTATTTAGCCATTTAGGTAGGTACTATATAAGTACCTACTTGGTCATTATAAATTATAACTCAATAATTCTATACACAGTCTAAAAGGAATTTAATTTTGCTAAAAAAGGTGCTTTTCCATCAGTATTTAATTCACCATTTGATTTTCACAAAACAAATGATTTGCCTGCAGAACCTCGAGAATCTTGTACACCTGTTACTGAGTCATTTAGGAAAGAATTGTTTGGTGAACCCAAGCCTAAGAGATTATGTCAAACACCAACATTAATAGTATGTTTGTGATTAATTGTCATAATAGACCATGTAGATTATTTAATTTATATATACCTACCTAACTTCATAGTTCATATGATTTATTAAAGGAATCAAAACTGTGGTATTAAAGTTTATTATTGCCAGTTGGTTGGTCATTATATCATGATGGATGTATTGTTGCATTGTATAAGCTGATTAAATTTATAGAATTTAATGAAGCTAAAATTTTTATTGAAAAATAAATTGTTTTTGAATCAAATAGTTTAAAAGTGAGCTATTATGTTAATCAAAAGCGTCGAAATCCTGAAAAGTTGGGTCTACAACAATTAACATACCCACTTGATCCATTGCAAATTACTGAAACCCTTCAATTGTTTGAACAAAAAGAAATATACCAAGGAGGTCCCAGTGTCATACATTTTTCAAGTATGAGTTTTAAATGTTAAATAGGTACCTACCTAAACCAATTTTTATTTAGGAATTCGGGTTAAGAATACTTATTTGGAGAATACAACCTGGCGCCATAATGAATGTTCTATTCTAACAAGTTCAAAAAAAAGATGTAAAAGGTGCAATTCATTGTTCCCTTATTTTAGAGAGTATAAAAAAAGATTATTTATAAGAACTAAAACATATGTTGAAACAACTCTCACTCCTACAAGACACAAAATAATTAAAGGGATGATAAAAAAATCGAAAAATGTTAAGAAATCCAACAAAAGGTAAAATTAATTTAAACTAATTATCTATTTATTTATTAAAATACTTTATAATATTTTATTTTTTAAAAGGTTTAAATTAAAAATTAACCAATTAAATTGTACATTGAGTGAACTACAAGATAAATCAAAGAACTTAACAAATAAATCATTAAATGATTTAGTTGAACATACAAACTTAAATAGTTCATAAAAAACAATAGTCCAAGAAATCGTAAATGCTAGTAAAGTCACCAATTTAAAAAATAGACGTTATTCAGAGAATTGGATTTTATTATGCTTGTTGTTGAAAATTAGGTAAAAATATTCACTTAGACAAAGAGTGGTCAAAAGTATTAATTATTAATTTTTTTCAGATCACCTTCCACTTATGGATTTTCAAGGGAACAAGGAATATTGCCTTTACCTTGTCCAAGAACTATCCGGAAATATTTGTCTTTATTAGATATTAATTGTGGGTTCGACAAAAGATTTTTTCAGTTGTTAAAAAAAAAGTTGGTATTCTCAGAACTGAAAAAAACATGGAATATTAGTGTATGATGAAATGTTTTTAAGAGAAAGCTTTAGTTTCAGACACTAACTTATAGTGGATTAGAAGATTTTGGGGAGGAAAGTGAATCTTCTGGTTTAAATGCCAATCACGCATTGGTGTTTATGTTTCAGAGTTTAGCTCTAAATTTCACACAACCAATTGCTGTTTTTGCATCCAGAGGACCAGTGAAAGGTAGGTATTCATAAATAAGAAAACATGTTGTAGGTATTTATATGTTTGATTTTCAGATTTTCTGAATTAAACTAATAATAATTATTATTTTAATTCAGAAAATTCCACAATTATTGTGGTAGATAATTAACTATATACAGTATAAATAATAATTTAAAAAATATTAGTAATACACTAATACATTTTAGTTTGCAGGTGATTCTAAGTGTATGTTTTTTTGTAGTTTATGTTTAGGTACTAAGTCATACTGCAGCAGGCCAGAAGCGACTCTTCTTAACATAAAATCAAAAGGAGGTTTGACTTACCCAAATGATTTTATTTTTTGATTGCTGAGTACTGTTGAAAAATCATTTGCTAAGCACTGCGATAACAATAATGTTTTCTTATTGACTATTGATGAATTCTTTGAAACTAATAATTTCATACATTTTCCATGTATTGAACACAAACAAGATGTACTAACTCATATTATATCCAACTTTATTATTATGAGGATGAGGCAGTACGCTTTACATACAAATAAAAACAAAAGTAAAGAAAATGCAAAAAAAAAAGTTTGCAAAATTAGTTCACACATAGGTAACAGTTATATCTTTGTTTTAAAATATATATTTTTTAATGTAAAATGCCTACCTATGTTGAAAAGAAATAAAGAATAATATTATGTTATAATAATTATAATAAAAATTGTTTTGGTATTCATATTATTTTAGTTCAATGCTAAATCCACTAAATAGATGGCGCTGGGTGTCCGTGATGTACCATATGAAAACATTTGGGTTCCACTGATAATACTCCGTTTCCAGTCCTGTATATCTTAGTCCATGCCTATAGATCCAACCAATGGACAGAGCATTCCACTGCGCCCTGCCATCAATGATGGTTGATCCTATTATGACCATAATATAACTGAGAGAGAATGAACATTAAGTAGTGAAAGATTTCTCGCATACAGCCCGCATAAGGAACTGTATAAATTTCACAATCTTTTTATTCTAGCTTACTCTATATCGTATCCCTGATTTCTCTCTCTAAGCGCTGTCCATTAGCTTATAGGTCTATGCTACCATAGAACATTATAGAAGCACAGTGTTGCCAGTGCTGGGTAAATTACTTTTAAAAAGTAATGACATTACGTTAGGTACTTGTTATTTCAAGTATTTTTATTTAAATTACAATTGCGTTAACTAAAATTATTTTTATCACATTATATTATTTTTTCATTAATAAAGTAGTGCGTTACAAATAACGTTATTTTTTATCATTGTAAACAGTTATAAATTTTTTTGAACCATATTCAATTCATATGATTCAATTATTATGTATATATTATATAACAATCATAGACCTAGTGATAATATACCTATTATGTACAAATGTGCAATCAGTAAGTCATTATTCATAATTAATTGTAATTAGGTACATTTTATTTTTAAACCGAACTCTATTCTTTCTGCTGATAAAATGATAACTTCTATTAATGAATTGTTATCGGAATCGAAAATAAATATAATTGATTTTCAATTTTATCTGAAATATCCCAAAGGTGTGTTTTTGTTATACATTCAAAACTATTATTTTAATAACTTGGAAAACAACGCGTTAGTGCGTTATTTCATGGAAATTACTTTAAAAAAGTGAGTTGGTTACAAATGCTTTACTTTAAGTAAAATGTAATGAAATTACTGCTGCGTTACTGAACAAGTAATTGCGTTACAGTAATTTGTAAATTTATTAGTTTCGTAATATTTCACAATGACAATCATTGGACCCCGGGTAAAACTCGTTTGATGCAGTGAGTTCTCGGGCCGATCCATAGGTAGGTAGCTAAATAGTTTGGAACTATTTCGACGATATGATAATCGAAAGTCGTGACTTGCCTGACATGCTGGGAAAACTAAGACTAGTGATATATCGACTTAAGGACACTAAAATGACATACCCCGTGACGTGTGATGTGCATTCTGTTCGACGATTCCTCGGACTCATTGGATTTTTCCGTCGGTTCGTGCTTGGATATGCTGTCGTAACATGGTCGGGGATGACCCGTTAAATATAAGATATTCGGTGAAGAAATTAGTTCTTTTGAATATATTTTTACCGTAACTCGGGAGCACGAATGGTATTAGGATCTTAATATTACAGATACCTACAATAAAA